AGGTAGTACGCCCGCAAACGCCCGGGAAGGGGACCTGCTTGCTTCTTAAGCATTAGAAGGGAAGAAAAGATCTCCAGATCTAAAGCCAAAATGTGTTCGCAAAAGAGAGAGATAGTCCCAACCAAATTACGGATAGAATTCGGGTGGAGCTGACCAACGGTAACGCCAAAGTGGTTCATAACCTTGACGATGAGGGGATGGAAAGGTAGGCGCAACCCAACGACGAGCTGCTCCCGGAATATCACAATATCGTCAGGACCGTGTTCCCAAGGGAAGTCGCCCGAGGGTATAAAGTAAGTATACTCCCTAGGCAAGTTAAACTGGGTGATAAGGGAGTAAAGCCCCTCAGGCGTCATGGTTGAGGGCCCAAACTTGTCTAACGTCCGACCTCGACGGGAGGACGCCAAACTACCCGAGGCGACTCGGCCTACGGGTTCGAACTCTTCCTCAAGCTCTACCTTGGGTTCACTAAGGTTGTCGGGGGATGCAGCTCGGTTCGTAGAACCTGCATCTGACCCCCTCGAAGAACTGTCTAAGTTGTCCGAGCTAGACATTGGGAGGAAAAGAATACCAAGAAGAAAGTGCAGACTCACCCGGAAAAAGCAAATGGATTACGGAAGGTTGACGCGAACTAAAAAACTTGGACACGAGATCAAGAAGCAAATGCAGGAGAATGGCAATGAAAAGCGACTGGGGGTCCCCCACTATTTATACCCACAGTGACCGAAAACCGACAGCTCTGATTGAGGCAAATCCAACGGCCCATGATCAAGCTGACCGCACGCCTCCTAAGACCGAGACGTGACTGGCCGCACGTCTTTCGAAACTGAAGCAGCGTTGGCGCACGTCTCCCAGCATTGAAGGCAGCAGCGACGCGTTTTTTCAAATTTGAAATAACACCCGCTGTCACGTCTCCCAGCGGCGCACTTTTTTAAATTTGAAATAACGCGCGTTGTCACGTCTCCCAACATTTAAAGACAGATTGGTGCGTTTCCTGACTTTTTGGCACTCGAGGAACTCGGAAATCTCCTGACGAACGCACACTTCGCGCTATCAGTCAACCGGTTCGAAGTACGGGTCAAATCCACCCATCACCTCGCGAACTCCTCGCGTTAGGGCAAACCCCTTAGCGCGAGGAGTGGGGGGCAATTGATGAAGGAAGATTTGGCCCGACCTGTTGACCACCCAACACGTGGAAACAACTGAGGGTGGCCTAATAGAAGCAATAGCTCGGCATGACAATACGCTCAAGGTGCGAGCTCCGAGAGGATGAACCAGCGGTCTGAGCTCCCCAAAAGAAGCCTGAACTCTCCATTTGACCCCGAGCCTTACGAGGAGCGCAAAGGGCAACAACCGAACTGGCCCACCCCAGGGCAGTTTGGTCCACACCTCTATCCGAATTCAAGACTTAACCTCGCACACCACTCCAGCACTTCGTCTCCAGGCCGCCGAACTAAACAACCGTACCTGACACCAAAGGAGTTCGTATCCTGAGGCGGTGCACCTGACTGACTTAGGATCTGACGTTTGACAGCCACACTTCAACGGCCACCTGCCACTGCCACCTCTAGTCACAGAGACGGCTCCGACAAAGAGAGCAGAGATGATGACACCCGAACTGGCAGAAGTGCAGAGGTAATAATTCCCGACCTGACAAGAGCTTGGGAGTGAGTGCGCGAAGTGGTTATAAAAAGCTCTCTTCCCCCCAAGAACAAGGTACGTGATAACTTTGCACCATCTGGTTTTTTATCTTGCCTTTGAGGAAATACTAACTTGAGCTTCGGAGCACTCTCATCGGGCTCCTCCCCGGAGATTACTCGCTTTCTTCCCCGTTTCAGGCACCTTTTGCTCCAGCCAGAGGCAAGATCGTTGACAGATAGGACCGACCGGATTGTGCCCCATCAATTGGTAATAGAGTTTTTTGTTGTGGTTTAACCCAAAATATTGATCAAGTGGCTTGGATCTCTCAGTTTTACAAATTGAAGGATATACTTGATCAATCACTATTAAAAAAAAAGGTCATGATTTGGCAGTTTAGGTTGTGTTTGGCACGTTGTTGTTTCTATGTAAAATATTTTGAATTGATTAATACAAATTGATGAAAAATATGTATTGTCACATCACACATGTGAATCACTTCAGTTAGAAAAAAAAAGAACACGTGTAGGACTAGTTGAAATGCCAATTTTGATGTGGCTAGAAAAAAATGCATGCATGGGACTGGTCTTTGAATTTATAGTTGAAATGTCAATTTTGATGTATAAGGTAGAAAAAAAAAAAATTTCTCGATCAACCCAAAACGTTTCAGGTAAAACTAAAAACAGAAGTGGTGGGGTTTTCCCTCAATGGATCCTTTTTCAGTGATGCTCTCATGCTTGAATTACAGGAAATCCCAATACCCCAGCTATTAACCACAAATTTTAGAAATAAACAATTCCAATATCGATTCCCTCCTATGATGGAGGAGTAATAAACAAACTCAATATCATTAATCTTCAAAATCAAAACAATTTTGAAAAAAAAAAGAATAATTTTATTTTAATACCCTCAACTTTGGAGATAGTGTCAAATTAATATCCGAATTAGTAAACGTGTCACTCTAATATTCAAACTTTCAAAAAGTATCAAATTAGTCCCTATCATCACGTGATGACATGTGATGATTTAAAATTTTATCTATTTTTCAGTTATTTCATCATTTATGTGTTCATGTTGATGTTGTTGGTGGCTCGGTTGAGGAAGTGAAGCGTTCAAAATATGAGAGTTTGAAAGGAAATTCATGCATGGCGGGGAGAGAGAGAGAGAGGTGTCATCACAGTCCTGGGACAGATATAAAGGAAGTCGGAATCATTCGATTTGTCTTCAAATTTCAACCAGACCCACGACACCACTAGGCTCCAGATCTCGTCTTCTAGCTCATAACTAAATTCACCCTATCGAATGACCATCAGTTTACATAGCACCAGTCCCTATCGAATGGAGATTTTAATTAATTTCCAGGGTGGTTTTAGATAAATTTGTTCAGGCACAGGGTGGTTTTAGATAAATCTGTTAACATAGGATCATAGGCAGTTCATCAATGCCGGGAGTAGAGCAATCAGCAATGCCCTTGAATTGAAACAAAGACACTAGATCCAACAGCTTCGATCAAAGGGCTCCGACCCTACCCTAGTTTGAAGTCTGAGGTCTGAGGTCTGAACCCAGTTTGCAAAACCCCATACCTAAAGAAAAAAATTGGGTGTAGCAGTAGCAGCGTTTGTACCTTTGAAATCGATGCAACGCTCCATGCATGGGAGAAGAAACCTTTTGAGCAGGAAGGAATTAACGGACATGTTCTCGAAATGGCGTGAAATTGAGTTCGCATGTCATGACATGCGTTGCGCTTAGGTTTCATGGAACGTTTTTGGTTTTTAGGGGGGCAAATCTGTAGGGGGCAGATGTAAAACCCATATCTCAAGCGGCATTTGTGTCATTCAATTTGTACTGGGACCAATTTGACACTTTTTAGAAGTTTGGAGGAATTTTTCAAAAAAGACTGTAGAACGGAAATTTTAAATCTATTCAGAAAGAAAGTAAGAAATCATTTTAGTTCAGTCACTTGGGAGGAGAGGTGAATTTACAGAATCACAGTCATAAAAGGTACCGTATTCCAATTCCACCGTGTATTAGAAACATCGATATTCCGAATGTGCGACTGGAATATATTACAAAGAGATCAGGACCCAGAAAAGGAAAACCCGTTTCCCACCTATCATCATTACAACGTGATCCCAAAAAAAAGGTCGGACCCATGGAATAGGACACGTGTCTAAAGCATTTACATGTGATTCTTGAAGCAATACCATCACCGTGAGCGTGGCGATTCTAGAGCCGAGACTTGGCCCTTGCACCGCACAACCCGCACCTTTGGCGATGTGACTCCTTCGTGTCTGAAGAGTGAAGAGGAAGACCGACGCTCTTTAGGCCGGCCTTTGGAATAGGTCCCCCCTTTCCCTTTTGAACGTGTTCGACTTCGACCCCAACACAAACAAAACCTTGCTACGTTTTACCTAACCTATTATGATTTGTGCAGTTGGTTTGCTCATTGAGGAGACAGCAACATCTCTCCATAGGCTAGGCTAGGATACATGGATACCCAAGACCCTTGGTTTGACCCGCAATGACGGTCAATCATCCATCGCCATTACTCCTTGGAGCTAGACTCTCCCAGAATCTATACTGACGACGGGGGATCTTACCGTCCATTCCTTTGACTTTTTAGTCTGGGCGGTTTGTCATGTTGCTGTGTGTCTGGCCCCAACCCCAGGAGACATTGTTTTTCATCTACACTAATATACATTTGCTTACTTCATTTTTTATTATTTAAAGTAATAAACGCTTATTGACATTTAAAAAATATATCTATAATAAGAATATTGGGCTTATTTATTTATTTATTTTCTTTTTAACTTATTTTGAACGGTCACATTATTTTAAAAATACCTATACTATCCTTATTTGGAACACCAAATAAGTATTTTTTCACCAAATGCTCATCAACACTTACTAGAATAGAATAATCACTTATTTTTCAAATGAGCAATCTCAAACTTGGCAAGTAGGGTTTTAGAGGGGATTTGTGAATGGCATTGAGGGTGGGCTTCATTAAAAAAAAAAGTGAATGGGCCACGTTGGCTACTAAAATGGTGGGCTTTCGACCATCTCAGAGAAGGACAGTTGTAAAGCAAAGAAAGACCCAAAGGGTGGTTAATTGGTTGGAAATTTTTGAGAGCCCAGGGTAGGGGAAGAGGGGGCAGGGTGGTGGTGGATGGATGGATACTACTGGATATAGATTACTCTGAAGTACAACTGTAGCGTAAGAGGGGATTGGAGTGGAAGCAACGAAAAGTCGAAAAATAGACGATGGAGCCGTGTGGGCTCCCCCACTTGTTTTTTTTTTTTTAATCTCTCTCCATTCAAATCTCTTCCTGCCCTTATAAGTTATAACTGCTTCCCTTCCTCCTACTACCCCAACTCTCTCTCTCTCCCTCACGTCTTGTCTCTTTTACAGAGGCTTCTTCTTTTGGGATTTCAGGAGGATTTGAAGCCACTCACCGTCACCGACTTGGATCTTTTTCTAAGCCCCTTCGCCCACTTGTCTCTTAACACTGCCGCTCGCTCTCTGCTCACCCATTTCCGTGCTTCTTTTCTCTATCTTCCTGTCGGCATGGGTTGCTTCCAGAGTTAATATATGTATCGGATTCTGTTTTGGTTTGCTGATCGTATCCGTGATTGACATGGAACCCAGATTCCAACTTGAAAGTTGGGTCCTTTTTCTTCTCGTTCCTTGTCAACTTTAATCTGGCTTCTTTCATTTTTCTTTGCTTTGATAGATTTGAATCTGCTTTTCTTTTTGTTTGTCTCTCTCGCTCTCTTTCTTCTTTCCTTCTATTCCGTAAATTTCAGTCTAGAGAGGGCGAGCGGCTGACGGGCTTTTCCACAGTTCATTTCGGGGCTTCAAATCTAGCAAGGAAAAGGATTTTTTTTTCTTTATTTCCTATCCGATATTCGGTATTGGTGTGACATTGTAACTGACATGGCAGATGTCAGGAACAGTAATAGATCGAAACAGGGAAATAGTGATATGCCTCAGACTCAGAGCAAGGAGTGGGAGAGAGGAAAGAATCCGCTTAGCTTAGAGGGGCGCCAAAGGATGCCGGTTTTTGAAGAGGCTTCCATATCACCTAGGCCTCTTAAGAAGATACGAAGTCCTGAACGCCAGAACCCATTTGACTCCTCAATAACCAACTTCTTACTTTCTTCTTCTTCTTCTTCTTCTTCCTCTCACCCTTCTTCAAGGCTTGTTTTCCCATTTGCCTTTGATGGGTCTCAACCTATAGAGATGCCCCAACATTTTGGAGCAACACCTTTGACTCTGTTCCATCAGCTACCGCCACAGCAGCAGCAGCAGCAGCAGCAATACCAACAACAGCATCAACAGATGATTTCATTCGCTCCCCACAACCAAGGAATGGGTTACCCACCGTTCTTCCTTGGAGAAGGGCAGTCGCCACAGCAGCAACAGCAGCTTCTACAGTATTGGAGTGACGCGCTCAATCTCAGCCCTCGAGGCCGAATGATGATGATGAACAGACTGGGGCAGGACGGTAGGAACCTGTTCAGACCTCCAGCCCCTCCAGCCACCACGACCAAGCTCTACAGAGGAGTAAGACAACGCCATTGGGGCAAATGGGTGGCCGAGATTCGTCTCCCTCGCAATAGGACTCGCCTCTGGCTGGGCACCTTCGACACTGCAGAAGATGCTGCTTTGGCCTACGATCGCGAGGCCTTCAAGTTGAGAGGGGAGAATGCTCGCCTCAATTTCCCCGAGCTCTTTCTGGGCAGGGAGGGCGCTGCGACAGCTCCAACTTCATCCTCTTCATCTCTACTAACTCCCAATGAAAACCCTTCCCAACCCCGGCGGTACCAGCAGCAGCGGCAGCAGCCTCAGCCTCAAACAGCTCCACAAGGCCTAAATTTGAAGGCGGAGCCTGTGGAGACTGAGCCTATGCCTCTCGACAATCCCAACGAGGATGATCCGGAGAAGCCTAGTTTTCAGGGCACTTCACCTTCCGGGGTGGGATCGGGATCGAGTGGTGTAACGGCAATAAGCGAGGCTCAGGCGCTGACACCTGCTTCTGTAACAGGGGAAGGACTATCTGGGTCTCCAGAATTGGCATGGGGAGATATGCCAGAAGCCTGGTTCAATGCAATACAAGCTGGCTGGGGTCCTGGTAGCCCTGTTTGGGACGACATCGACACGACTAACAATCTATTTCTGCAATCCCATCTTCCAATTCCTACTTCTCATCATCAGGAATCCCAAGCAGTTGATTTTCAAAATCAACTCGACAACCCTTCTTCTTCTTCTTCCTCCTCGTCGTGTCCCATGAAGATGTTCTTTTGGAAGGACGGGGACTGACTGTCTGAGTTTAACTCCTCCAGTCATCAGTTTCTTTTCTATATCTCTTGGTACTTAGGATTTAGGAACAACATTACATAGTAGTAGGGCACTCCAGTTTTCACAGGTTGCAGAGATTTTTTTTTCACTAGGACAGCCCGTGATTTCTTAGGAGTTCTATCAGTTTTCTAAAATAAAAAATCCAGTTCATGTTTTGTTTCACCTTCATTTTTCTGCCACAGCTGCTGCACACGGGCCGGATATTTTTTAGTGGGCCTCACAGCAACTCTCCATGCTATTTCCCTTTCATTCTCATTTCTTCTTTTTTATTTTCGTCTTCCCATTCGAAGGAATCCAGCACAGTAGTAGCCTGAAGTAATCAAGGTCCTCATGTTTGGAGTTGTTTGTGTGTGCGTGTGTGTAGGTCACTAGGTTGTCATTATGTTACCAAGTGCATGTATTGGGTTTTGGGCTGAGATGCTATTAGTGAAGAAATGATGCAGCGTGGGACCTGAAAGGAGACAGAGGCGGTTTTGTGATCTCTCTCTCCTCTGCATGGGTGTATCAGAACAGAAATGATTTGTACAGTATTGGTTTTTGTCATCCATTAAGTTTGTACACTTGATAAAATTGAGTCACCTTTTTCTCTCTCTCTCTCTCTCTCTACTATTCAAATTAGTGAACAAGAGACAAGATTAATGTATCAAAATCAAGCTATCAATTTGCATCTCTCTAACTCAAATATAAATGGTGTTGTCACATGGCTACTTTGGATGTTATTGTTTTTGTATCATTTTAAGTGGTTGAAATGAGACTCATCAGATTGAATTGACGCCATGCTAGTTAAGTCAATCTGCGTCATAAAAGCTGCCAAACTAGGCACTACAAGGGTTATGCGTTCTGGTCACTCCCATAGGATATTCCTGCTATGCTAAGCATTTAAACTTGCTTTTGAGCTGAGGTAGCAAAATGGGGTGAAGCAAAAAACAAGAATTTCACGTTTGGTAATATACCACATTAAAGAAAAAGAGTGCTTCTACCTAGAATATAATTTCCCAAAAGCAGGAAGAAACTGCTTTCCAAAAGATTCTTCTGGGGTCTGTCCTAGTTTGCTTTTCTTATGGTTTTGGACTTCAGCTTCACAAATCCATCTCAATTCTAACGCAAAAGACTAGTTCTTTTTCTGCATTTGGGTCTTGGAACTGAAGATTACAAATTAGAATTAATATCTGCTGGTGGGGATAGAGATTAATGGATTCCCCAACCATCGATCCCAAACAAAGTAGTGAATTAATCTTTTCATCAACTTCATTTTGCTGTCCAAAGCATCTCCTACTGGGCGAGTTTGGGGCTTCCACTCCCAAATCGATATAATATTTAAGGAAACAGATCAAAACGACCACCCACGAGTTGACTTGTGAAAAAAAACACTTTATTACATTAACAAATGATAACATCAACAACTACTCAAAAGGTCTCAAACACAAGTTTAAAGATTGAATGAAAGAGAGGATGGATGAGACAGACGTCAAGGCCACTGAAGAGCAGCTGTCGCAACAGGATTTGATGAACAGAGAAGTTCTTCTGTGGGGCTCAAGCAACCCATTTGTTTAATTAATGCATTGACCTTCAGAAAGGAGGTTGAGATGGGTAATTAATTAATAATTATTAATTATAAAAATAAGAATGGATATGGTCATATGGATGGTCAGGCGCCGCCCCCCCCTACCCTAAATCATCAACCAAAATTTTCTTATTTGTGACGGCACGATATCAGTAGGAGCTTAGAGAGAGAGATCAAATTTAATAAACATAAAAAAAAAAAATCTGGAATGTGGAGAGTGATTTCTGTGGCCAACCAGATGTGGTTTATCACCGTAAAAGCTTTCTTTTGAGCCTACCAATGGCAACCTTGGTGTCATGATATTTCCCTCCCTCCTTTCTCTTTCTTTACCTTATTCATCACATTCTAAGATTTTTTTTTTGAACTGTTTGGATGCAAGCTGTTGTCTTTCCTATTCCAATCACTTGTGTACTCTTCTCATTTGCGTTGGGCATTTCTTTTGTCTCAAGTAAGGCCCTCCTGGCCTCCTCTCAACATGTCTGAGACAGGAGCCAACTTAAGGTGTCTTTCTACAGGTCCTGGGCCTGAGGATATATTATTGTGCCAGTCATGTGAACCAGAATATTTAAGGCCCACCCCTCCTGAAAGTCAGTTGGACTGGATTATCAGGCCCAACTCCAGCCTCAGTTATAGGTTTCAGCCTCAGTGTCAGTATTATCTTTCACGCTCAGGTTTGGCTCGTTAGTTGGGGTGTTAATGGACCAGTTTTGGGTTGAACCCCATCCAAATTCAAAATCAATTTGGACGGATTGAGCAGACCACTAGTATATATTGAATTGGACCAGTCCAGACTTAAATGGTCCAAAGTATTTATTGGATTGGATTGAACCTGGTCTTTCTATAATGGGTTTATATTGGATTGAATCAGATTGAACCAATATCCAGTCCATTGATAGAAGCTAAGAACACATGTATCAATGGATCAGGTTTGGGTTGAAACCAATCCAAATTAAAGCCAATTTGAACAAATTGAACGGTTCAGACATTGAATTGGACCTGGTCCATTTGTAACGAACTCAGATAGGACGAATCAGATCAGATTGGACCAAATCTGATCCAATTGACACCCATGCTCCTAAGTTAACCTATAGTTTCAACTTAGTATGTTTATCTTCATGATAAAGTTTAAACACATTCAGTCACGATCACAATGATAATGATAAATAGACATACAGTTACATTAACAGAAGGTGTCTTGTACTAAAAAATTCAACAGGAAAATGGAAAGTTCCTTGAGTTAACCTCTCCGCATTCATTTACGTGTACTTTAGACAAAACTCAAAAGGGAATTGGGGGTCTCGGGGAAAAGTTCCCAGCTGCAAGGGTAAGCAAGCAAAAAACTTGTTCGTACAATGTCCATACGGCTATGTTTGATTGCAATGTAAATAAATTTGCACTGATGCAAAACCATGGCAGTGCAAATGATTTGAGTGTAAATTCTGACCTAATTTTTATTTCAAATTTTAATTTATTTTGCTTGATTGCATTACAAATGAAGTAAATTAAGACATGAAGCAGAATAAAGTAAAATCCAAAACAAAATTAAACAAGAACTTACATTTTTTACATTTGCACCCCCTTGCATTTATACTAGTGCAAATAAATTAAAGAAATCTGAACTGCAACCAAACACAGCCTACAGGGATATTTTTTGTATTCATTTGTTCTCAGTTGTATATGAATCGTGAATGATGAAACCTGATGTAATAAAACAGAAACTAGTTTCTGTGCAAGATTTCATATAATTGATTGAGTAGGGAGCTTTGATCTTTCATGGGTGTAGGCACACAGGAACATGGAACCACCACGTAAATGTTGTTTTCTGTTGGCATTCATCTCTCTCGTCTCCTTTTTGGGTTTTCCTCACAACAATATTGTATGAATGTCACTATCCCAAAAGAGGGTAAAAAAAGGTATGGAAAACATATTGATGTCACCTTTCTGACAAACCAATTTTATTTTATTTTCTTGTTTTGATATATAAAGTTGCTATTGGCTGAAATACAAATACCAAAAAAAAAAAGTGTTTTTCTGATGGAGAAGAGAATCAATTTTGATTTTAGGTAGATTACTACTCAGTAAAGAAAACAAAGTCCAGTTTCTGGAAGATGCAAGCAAGGTTGATTGCCTCGTGTAGTATTCATTCTTCTTCTAGAAGTGATCTTCACCTTCAAGAATACTGCTTTAAAATATAAAGCCTTTCCAAACATGCTTACATAGAATTTGGTCCATTTTTCAAATTAAGTCTAATACTGAGCAACCTCCACTAGGAAACAAATACTAAAGTTGGTAGTTATATATAGCAGCCAACAAGAGAGATTCCTTGTGATGACAGGATGAGATTCTAGGTCCACTTGATATCAATATGATTCGGCTCTGAGAATTTTAAATTCCAGTTCTTACAATCAAGAGATTCATTCACTCATCCGGTACGTGTTCAAGCTTATGATGAGTAAGCAAGTATGAGCCCAATTAGCTTTGGTTGATTGTTCATGTGGTGATGATGCTCGCTTGAGGAGAGCCCAACCTCATTCCAAGCCCGTTTAACCAAATGAGCCTAAGCGCATAATTTCAGTGGGCCTCAACATTGTTTAGCCTAAGCATAATAAGCTCTCATGGCTCATGAGCATTTGGTGAAAATTCACGTACTTCAAACAGGGGTTGTATAGGTATTTTCAAAATAACGTGACTAGACCAAGACGGGCCAGAAAAGAAATATAAATGCTTCTTAATTGAGTGCATTGCTAATCCTTTCTCAATTTTAATGATTAGTGATTGTTAGTTAATTAGGCTCTTGGCTAAGGGGCTCAATAAATTTCGGTATTTTAGGCTTTGTTGTGCCTATTATCAAAAAGTGACAATTAAGTCGAGCCAAACAGAGCCCAATGCAATGCAATCCTTGAAGCGAAGCAACCTTTGGCAAAGGCAAAGGAGAGAGAAATTAAGCCGGTTGCAGTTTTCCACCAGAGCTAGTGAAGTTGCGGCCTAGCCCATATGAACAATATCTTTGGGGAATCATGTGGTGGGATAATATCAAGAAGCAAATCCAGTATATGACTCATTGCGTTGATGAAACTTGAAAGTAATTTTACCATGAAGCTTGGCTGAGTACAGGTCCTCCGGATTAGTTAATGGTTAGTGCAAAATGAGTAGATTTATAGTCTAACACCTGAAGAACTGAGATTTATTGTAAGCAAAACATAGAGTGTGCAAGCATAAATTGGGAACATCTTCTCCTCGGCTTCAGTCAGTGCATGGGCCCGTTGGAACAGCCTAACTTTATGGCCTTGCATTGGGAATATCTCTCCAATCCCATCCCATGAAATAAAGTAGATAACTATTTATGGAGATATTCATTCCCAATGAACACAGGCGCCCTCGGCCCTTGCACTGCACTGACTGAAGCCAATCTCAATGCACGGCTGAAAGGTGAAAACACTATGAGATAGGTAGGTGTGAGGAGCAAATCCGGATTCGGTTGACTGCCTGTCATGCCTCCCTCCCTAATCCGGATCCCACAGCATTCTTTTATATATCCAGAGTCCAGACAAAGCACTGATAGGTCTACCAACCAAGCAGACTAACATAATTGTTCTCCTTGCATGAAGTCATTCTGAACAAGTTGAAGTTGATCAGTTGGGTTTTCTACTTGTACAATCTTTAGTTAATTTGTGAGACAGTGAAGACGTGGAAAGGCCATTGGGTCTGAACTGTGACGACGTAGTTGCGGTGTTTACAAGTAAAGGCCGTGATATGGTTGGACTTTTCTCTGTTTGTTGAATGTTGGTCATCATCTTGCTGCATATCTATATATAAAGCTGGCACAGGTAATTAAGTATGTAACTTCACAACATGGATTCCTTGTTTCAGACGGCAGATGATGGCCTGATGGATGTTAAGCATGTAAAGATATCATAAAACCTACAGAAAGCCATTTGTTGTTTTGTTTTCATATTGTTAATAGCTAGGCTTGTCGAAATTCATGCAGCAGATGGCGTGGGAGCATAGTTTCCAACCTTTCTCCTTCATTCGATTAGCCAGCCCATGCGCAACTCTCATCCTGTCTAGTTTTTAATTATTTTTTTTATGCTGCTTCAACTATATCTCTACTTTTCCACCAGCCCGATTTCGCTG